TAGTTTAGAGTGTTACTTCTAAATCATATTGTGACAAAATAATCCAATGCTAGGCAACGATCCGCTAAACACAATCTCGCGTTAACGTATACTCAAGCAACAATAGAAGAATTGCCGTTTCTATGCAATGACAACGTAAACGCACTTCTAAAACAATGGAGAAATTGCAAGAATATGGGATTCTCAAAGTGTTTTCTATCCGTGGTCCGTGCCGAGGGTTTATAGGGGACAACGAATTTCGTTATCAGTCAGTCGTAGAACGAGCAGCAGAATGGAGAGAGGCTCCGGCGGTCAAGATTGATAACGACACGTTATAACTGATTATAATTTTAGTCGGAGTGCTAGTAAATGTAATCATCTAATACAGAATCCATTGTTTCTCGTCACGCTGACCCTAAATACATGGCAATATTGTTCGGTCCCCAAGTTTTAATTTCAAGCAAAGAGGTTAGTGGAGTTTAACCGACAGGTCACATGACACATGAAGTTACTATCTGAGAACAACGTGTGCTTGAAGTTCTGGTCTGAGGTCAGGAGGTACGCCAACTGACAAATTTTCAGAAATGCTCTCGGCTTAAGAGTTAAGCGATTCGAGTTGCTATTTATCTTAATATATTTTCGTCTTTGTCTCAGAATTCCTAGACTAATAAAGCGACAGTGCCTTCAGACAAGCCATGGGTCCATATTTACGTTTTCATATTTCCACATGATTCGCATGAAACTACCAATATCTACACTAAACACCCTCTGTAGAGGGAGGAATTTATTTAAGTATCATGAAACAGACAGTCTAGCTCTATATACAGAGTGTCCAATTGAAAGGTACCCAAAATAAAATAATTATGTCAGAAAGCATTATTATACACGTGTATGGGTAACACAATTACAAAAGGAAATTATCAGAGTTTCTTTCCGAGAATGTAACTTTCTCGGTAAATTCCAATGAGGGCTCCCTTGGTGGCACGAAAAATATTCAGACGATATTCGACATCGTTCCACGTTGCTTCAAGCATGTTCGGTGTTACCGTAGCCACAGCGTCCTTTGTGCGGGCTTTCAGGTGTTGAAAGTAGTTGGTCTTAACCTGATANGCAAGTACCATGAAACAGTCAGTCTGGCTCTATATACAGAGTGTCCAAATTAAAGGTACCCACAAAAAATAATTATGTCAGAAAGCATTTATTGTACACATGTATGGGTAACACCATTACAAAAGGAAATTATCAGAGTTTCTTTCTGAGAATGTAACTTTCTCGGTAAATTCCAATGCGAGCCAATGGTGGCACGAAAAATATTCAGACGATATTCGACCTCGTTCCACGTTGCTTCAAGCACGTTTGGTGTTACCCTAGCCACATCGTCCCTTGTTCGGGCTTTCAGGTGTTGAAGGTCGTTGGTCTTAACCTGATAGGGAGTGTTCTTCGCATAACCCCTCAAGAAATAATTCAATGATGTTAAATCTGGCGACCTAGGGGGCCAAGCAATTGGTTCACTTCTGCCGATCCATCTCCCGGCCATCTCCCTGTCCAGGTGACTCCTAATATCCTAATATGGCGCAGAAATGTGACGGTGCATGCGCGTAAGTTGGGAATGAAAATAAATCAGCGTTTNCGAGCCAATGGTGGCACGAAAAATATTCAGACGATATTCGACCTCGTTCCACGTTGCTTCAAGCACGTTTGGTGTTACCCTAGCCACATCGTCCCTTGTTCGGGCTTTCAGGTGTTGAAGGTCGTTGGTCTTAACCTGATAGGGAGTGTTCTTCGCATAACCCCTCAAGAAATAATTCAATGATGTTAAATCTGGCGACCTAGGGGGCCAAGCAATTGGTTCACTTCTGCCGATCCATCTCCCGGCCATCTCCCTGTCCAGGTGACTCCTAATATCCTAATATGGCGCAGAAATATGACGGTGCATGCGCGTAAGTTGGGAATGAAAATAAATCAGAGTTTTCCTTTCCGATGACATAAACCGGATAAGTGTGTGAAAATTAATTTCATATATATATATATATTTTTATTTTGGATACCTGTCATCCAGACACCCGATAAAAGTGGCACTGCATTAAGGGATGTGGTTATTATTCTGAAGATACCTCGTTCGAGTCTCAACTAGAGGTATGCTGACCTGAAGTAATTTTTGTAATTTGTCGACAAATTAAAGCGAAATAGAAATAACACTTTAAAATAGACCACGACCATTTCCTGACATATTCTTTCCTAGTCATTTCCCATAGTATTCTACGATAAATCTATTGACGTTATGTAACCTGAGTACTTGATGTGCGAAAACCTTTTGAACTCTTTTAAGACACTACCCAGAGAGCTAAGCCCCCATAACAACTACGCTAGAAGATGGAGGACTGAGTCCGATTCCTAGCTGAGATAGGGATTTTGCTCTTCATTATTCTGTCATACACTCTGCAGTTCACCCAGCCCCTGGGTTAAAGTTCACCATAAGGTTCTTTCTCCCCAGCGTCAAAGCGTCCAAGTTATGGATCTGACCAACCACTTCCCCATCCATTGTCGAAATCAACAATACATGAACTTATACCTCCATTCCTCATAAATCTTCATGACGTAATGTTTAATTATGCATAGAGATAATTACATTTTTATTATCCCGAAATTTGTATGAGGGTACTGAAGACAACTACGAAAGACTTCAGTTAGGAAACTTGTTTCCGGGCGTACAGCTCAATGACTGCATTTTGAGTGAAGTTCATCCTGAACCAAACTCCCCGCATTTGGAGAGCTCTGCAGTAAACGGGCCGTGGGTCTGAATACATTACGTCACCTGACAATTACATGCCACCGCCACGCTCCCAGCCTCGATGGGATAATCCGAAGCTTTTCGGACGAATAAAATTTGATCTCGCAGGAGTTGCATAACTTCTGTGATGTATAATTGTCCGATGATTTCAGCGAGTCAGGAGAAAATGCTGGACTTAAAGGTAATTCGCAACTCTGTTGAGTCCCCAGATAAAACAAATGACAGGAGAGATATTAATCAGGATATTGTTAAGGGAAATGTTGTGGCAAAGAAGTGTTAGGTAACACAGATCTTAGAAACACAGTTACGAAAATTTAAATTATTTCATACGATAATTCAGGCTACAATAACGGTGAATATTAAGAAAACACTCTTCTTCTTTGTGACACTCTATATTTTAATTAAACGGGAAATTTAATGACTCCATCTTCAGCATCTTTCTATTCTGAAGACGGACACATGAGGCTCTTCGGAAACACTGACACATGTCTGTAAAAATACACAGCATCAAAACGTTCTGCACTATACGAGTAATAATTTTTATTCAGGAACTTTCTGTATAGGTCATAATGTCTCTTTAAGTTTAAATACGTCAAATTTCAATTTTTGCACCTTAAATGAATAAATTTAAAAAATTAGTAACTGAATCTGTAGTGGCCGTGCCATAGCTCAGGAGGTTAGTCGCTGGATTCCCACCGCAGTGGCCCGGGTTGGAGTCCAGGTCAGGTCATGCGGAATTTGTGGTGGACAAATTGG